CGTATCTAGTCATAAAAAATCCCAGCTAAACATTGCAAATTTTCCCAGTTTAGGGCTGAAGTCAAATCAAGCCCATCCAAAGCTTTTTTGCATTTTGCCTAATTAATATAATTTGTAAAAAAAAAAAAGTGCGTGGGATAAACTTGATAAAGTATAATAGACATAAATGTAAGCTTTCCAACAAAAACCAGAGTATGAAAACAGCAGATAACAGAACTCCTTTGTATCTGGGAGGCTTCAGTGAGGTGTTGGTAATGTTCCAGACCTTTACTTCTTTGAACCAAGCACCTGTGAGTTTTCTGGATTGCATTCCCTTGCCTTTTGTATACTTAATGGATTTTTTGGGCAGCCATAACTTATTCTCAACACCTGGTAATTTAAAAAATTGTATATATGCACCATTAGTATTAATAAAAGGCACCTGAACTAAACTTAAAACATTTTTATGCTCTGGCAAGCTCAAAAGTTAAGACTATAAAAAGCATATTCAGCCCTGTTAAATCGAGCCTTCTCACCCCCACTGCTGACACCCCCACCTTATTCTACCAGCAGTACTGTGCATCACCCAGAGACCAACTGGCATCCAGAAATACTGCCTGAAGTATTGCAGCCGTATGTGCAGGTGTTGAAAGGCATTTTAGTAGGGCAAAGTAAACCTCACAAAGGACCCACGGCTTTGGTTTGTTCAGCCTTGCAGGGGAGGCCAGGGGCAACACTGACACCTTCTGATACGAGGCGGGTACATCCATTCCCTCGCTGTTGCAGAGAAAGAAGCAAGATGCTCTGCATCTGCAGGAGTGGGCGGTTCTCACATCTATTTCTATTTTATTTCTGTAGTTTCAGGCATCTCCCCAAGTCCTTTCAAGCATTGCACCTTTTCAATATTCAGCTTGATTCAAGTTTCAGCTTAAAAGAGACACAAGAGAAGGAAAACAGGGGGATGAGCGCTGGCAGAGGCCTCCATTGGAAGAAACTATCAGAATAAATGAAACTGTGTCGTTTCTATGTGGAGGTCTTTCAATATGTAGAAGTTCAGTTGCAGAATAATATCAAATATGGGAATTAGATTCAGAAAGTCATTAGGTCATTGGACACTGCAGATAAAGAGCCTGAAGAAATAGACTTGTTTTTCCAAAATAATAATTTATACAGAGACACAGATTTAACTGCAAGGAGAGAGTTATAAGGTGGCTAAAGGAGCAGAAAATAAATAAAAATACTCGGGCTAAGTGAAGAAAATTTTGCTTTACATGTACAAGTTGTATCACATTGCTTCCGGGGAGAAAACCCAAAATAGAAGAATCTAAAAAATGGTGTTCACTGGAGTGAGTGTAATGGGATTCTGTTTGCTGCAGGAAATCTGAAAAAACACAATGCACTGGTTTTCCATTCATATTACCATAGTCACAAAATCCACTTAGTGCTAGTGACAACAATTTGAAACTCCTGTTTATGTTTTGTCCAGGACAAGCACACATCTGAGATCAGTGTAGGATTGGAGTATATATTATAAATTATAGTAAGATCAAGTTACCAGTGAGTGGATTAAGAGTAAAAGGCACTTGATATGCTCAGATCAATATCCTGCCCTTGTTCTCCCTAAACATACATCACAACAGGTCAGGATTCATACAGAACTCGGATTCCTGCCAGGCTAGTTTCTTTCTGAAGCTCTCTATTCTGGAGGTAGGAAATCAGGGGATGAGTTATGTGATGCTGGTCTTTTTTCAGCCAATGCACCAGAGATACCTTGAAAAGGAAAGTACAAGACATGCTGAATTTCAACCTACCACTGTATCAGGGCTCAGCTGCTATATTTATTTATTTGTTTGTTTGTTTATGTATATATCTAGCAGCTGCAAAACACTTCTTCTTTATCCCACACAAGAAATAAATAACTTCATTTTTCAGTTACTTTACTTTTAGGATGAGGCACTGAAATTATGTTTCATAACTGATAATATGGGGCTCAGGAGTCCTAGAGAATAGTAGTTGTGAAAAACAGCATATATTCACTTATTTTTTCAGCTAAATAGCCACAGTAGTAATGAAAACTATTTTAATTAACTGAAGGGGTCTAAGTTCCTTTTTTAAAGAGTGACTATCTCAAGCATGGAAAAAACAAAACCAAACAAAACCAAGATATAAATAAAAACAAAAGCAAGCAGAAGAGAAAGGTTTACTTTTTTTTTTTTTTTTTCTTTCTTCACTACCTCAAGGTTAAAAGCAGCAAGCAGCATTGATTAGCAAGGAGGAAAATTAAATGCACTAGAATTTAAAATCAAGATGCAGACATTGTTTCACTATACCAATTCATGTTTAGCTTTCTGAGGCTTTTTTTTAATGTCATCAATTCACACCATTATTTCTCATTTTTAATTGGTACTGAAACACTGATTTTACTATGCTTGTGCACATGGTAACTCCAGTTTTCTTTCTTATGAGACAAAGATCCTTCTAAAGAACAGTTAGAGTCAAATCCAGCTGTTCAGCCTTGCTGTGGACTATCTGAGCAACATCTCCCCAGACTGCAATACCAGCAGCAGGGCATACATTCTGGTATTTGAAAATTTTTTTTGTGAAGAAAACCATTAATACTCACTGCAAGAATTTCAGATCAAAGTCATTTACCAGGATAAGCATTGGGAAACTACCAAATAGACCTGCTTTGTGCAGAAGTCTATATCCAGCAACAATTTTAATACATGGAGATTGCTTTTCATGTGGGAACTCTGTCTCAGTTCAGCTTTCATTCTTTCTTATACAGCTTTTATATGACAAAAGCCTGGGTATGAAAAGTAAGATTGGCCATTTCAGTGGCTGTTTTTTATTGCACACTTGCATTACTGACTGATGCCATTACTGCAGCTGTATACAACTTCAACAACAACATATCTTTTTTGCACAAAAATTTGCACAAATTTCCTTGTTTTTCTATAGAATACAGTACCTTGCTCTCCTAATGAATTATATATCAGAAGAAGACAAAAATTTGTATTAGTTTCTCTATGTTTTTTCCACATAGTCTATTTCATGTAATTGAATGATGAGGAGTCAGTTTATTGTCTGATGGAAACTTGCATTTTTAGGGTGCAAGAAAGCAGTTGCAGAACATAAATAGCTCTATTAAAATTTTAAGAAACATTCTTTAAATTTCCAGAACATTTCAGGAAATCTATAAAAAAATTTTCTTTATCTAAGTCCAGAAACACATAAAATAAAGGGAAGTATAGGTGATTGTGTAATAGACAGCATTTCCCACATTATCAATTATTTAGTTTTCAATTTAGGAAACATTTTGTTGCTATGAATTAATCCAAAATAAAAACCAAGTCCAAGATTAAAAAATATAAATCTTTAAATCAAAGGACCCAGCATTACATCCTTTGAAATATCCAGCTTTTTTAAAGTCGAACAGTCAAAATGACAATGGCTATGATCCAGAGGTGCCTGCCTGTAGTTTTTGGAGAATAATCTTGTATGATAATGAAAAATGGCAAGGATAAAAGTTAAGGAAGAATACACAAGGGACCCACACCAGAAGAAAGATCAAAGTATTGTGTAGAATAGCACAGAGTAAAAGTTGCCAAAGACAGGAGAGCACCAGCAAGATGCACACCATTACTGGATTGGGCAGCAACCTAGTGGGCCAGAACACAATGTCCTTTGCTGAGGATACAGTAAAATTAGAGTGATGGCAATATGACACAGCTGAGTCAATGCTGGGATAGAGTTCACTATGTAGTATATAGCAGGGCCTTTCCATTCAGCTTCCTACACTTTACCTTTCCCAGAAATACAATGACATTTGCATGTGACAGAAGAATTGAGCATCCATTAGTCTGCCATCAAAGACTGCTAGGCCGGCAGGATAGAGCAGTGCCCCTGCTAAGGTCATTTATTTTTCATTCCTCTCTTAATGTTCATAAATGCTTTCATACATTTCTGACATTGACAGAGAAAAACTGCAATCTCAATAAAAGTATTCAACCCTGAAAATTAGACTCAAATTTATGTGGCAGTTTAGAAACATGATGCCTCATTCCAACAGACACACATCTTGGAAGCACTGGCAAGGCATTACCTGATTAGGTTTCTCATGATTACAACACACTGCTATACAATCTAGAAGGAGTTCAGAATTACCCAGTCTCCTCATTTTTATGATGCATTATACTTTTGCTTTTGTTGCTGTGCCTCCAATATTCTTATAGTATTATGTTTCTTAATTTGAACTTATTTTCCGGGTCATCAATTCAGTTGTCAATGCTATTGTCCTAAGGATTTACAACCAGATTGCTGTTTTTCAAGTACTATTTTTCTCTGTTTCTGGTTTTGCCTCAGCTTTCTGTAATCTGAAACTAATATTTCTATTGTAGTCATATAAACTGAATCATTCAATGCAGTCCTGTTACACTGAGCAGGACCAGTTTTACTTGGTAAATGAAGTGCATGTTTCCAGATGCCCAGATATTTTACATAATAGAACAAAATGAAATGAGATCAAATCATACCAGATCAAATAGAATTGGATAGGAAGACCACTGTTCTCAGAAGATGTTGAGTTCTGAAATGTCTGTCCAGAAAGTAATCCTCACTGCATTTATTCACACCAGAAATAACATAAAAATTTTAAAGTCCAAATCTAACCATAACAAGCTCTGCCTACTTGGAAAACAGAACAGGGTGCAGAGATGTCCCTGCAGCGTTGTTGATACTGTAATAACTCCCAGGACAAAGAAGTTGTTTATTCACAGTCTGGGACTGTGAAAAAACATGAACATGAACATGAACAGGTGAAGCATGCTGCCTTCTCAGCAGCAGCCAAAAGGCTTTTTCAGAAGTCCCTAGAGTACTTCAAAGCTGGTTGTATCAGAGTACTGGCTGGGAGAGAGCTAATGTTCTTCACAGTAGCTTGTATGGGACTATGCTTAGAATTTGTGTCCAAAACAGTGTTGACAACACAAGGAAAATTTTAGCTATTAGTGAATGGTACTTACACAGGATCAAGGATTTTTCCATGTACAGAATGTGTAAGTTCCTCATTTTGTCCATGACAGGTGTAAGTAAAGAATAGACAATGTCCTCTTCTTTTCTCCTGTATCTTCTGCAACAAGATTTTTTGAAAAGTACATTAGAAGTTTGCTCCTCTCAGCTTATAAATAATCTCCAAATGACTATAAAATATTACCGTATGTATCATCCTTAAATCTCCTTGCTATCCCTAGGTCATATGAGAACATCAAATTGTGCAAAATTGGTGTACTATAGAGAGATAGTGAGTACCAACATACACAAGATTCTGCTTTATCCTGGCAACCAAAGTTCTGGAGACAGAATTATTATAGAAAAAAAAGCCTCTAATAAATATTTTCTGGGTTATGCAAACTGGGTATGTTGTCTTCTTCTTGCCCTTGAACCTATCTCTTCCAAGGCTACATCTATTTTGAGTAGGACCCTTCTCAGCCACCACTGACAAAATTCCTGTATATGTCCACATGGCCGCATTGAGACGCACAAAGCTATCTTTGTTTTTTTCTCTCAGTGAAAGAAAAGGAGAATAAGAGAATAAAGGTAAGAGGTAGAACCTGCAGCAAATGTTTCACAGTTCAAGCCTGAAGGATCAGGGCAGGGTGCCTGTCATGCAAAGCATCAACAGCAAACCCCCAGACAGCCCCGAGGCAGCAGTAAGGAGCGAGCTGGCTAGAAATGGGGTTTTAGCAGATGGTTCTGCTGGAGCAGATTGAGCTTCACAGACTTGATATCTCACAACAAGAGATGCAATATGAAAATGACTCCAAAGCTTGCATGAAATTAATGAAGTTGGAGGAGAAACATTCATTCTACATTGGAGCAGGGTCTATTGTTATGTTGTCTTCTGGGTAGCTATGATTAGGCAGACTAGGAACTGTAGCAATGAAGCTGAAATGCAGTTGGAACATGAAGAAGAGTTTTGGCAGAGGAAGCACTGAGAATTCTGGTAGTCTTTTGGGCATGACTTATAGACGGAAGTGAAATAAAGATTGTGAAATCAAAGTTGTGTCAGATATCAGCTAGGTGACATTAGAGATGAATGTGAGACATGATGTGAGGATACTGGAGTTGTGCTGTTAAACTCTCAAATCAAATGTTATACTGCCAAAATATGTGACAATCAAGTTATCATGACTTTTCTACATGACATTAGCTCATCTATTGTGCTCCCATTTCCAGAAAGAAGCAGTTTAATTTTATTTAATCTTCTGTAATAAGTCACAAAATGCTGGACTACTAATTGATAAGAATGCTTTTGATCAGGAGTTATTTGGCATAGTTTTCCCTCCCAGTGTGTCTAAATATCTTAAAAATAGCTTTCAGCTCAATTACATATCAATTTGAGCCAGGTTAGAGTTCTTGTGTTCCATTGATATGTTAATCCCTCTCTCAGTTTATGTCAATTTAGGAACTTGCTGCCTCCCTGAATATTTTGGGCTCAAATTAAAACTGTTCAAACATGACAATATTTCATAGTTTTAACAAATTAATTGAAATAGGTTAGCAATCTCATTGTAAGCTGCTGAATTTGTTTATCAATATGATTATGCTAGTTATACTTTTAATCCACATTTGTTGTAAATACATACGGAAAACATAGTGGAAAATTAAAACAAAGACCATGAGTGAAGCTTCATTTGCTGCAGTACATTCAGGTGGTCAGTGTTTCGCCAGTATGACAGGGATGGAATGAGCTCAGTTAGGACAGGCAGCTTTCACCCACTGAAGCTGTTTGGCTGTGAGCAGCTGGCTGCAGGACCCTATGCACTTTCAAGTTCCCTGGGCTAAGGAGAGGATTGCTCTTAGCTCCTGGCTCTGAAGATGAACACAGATATTCATAGGTGATGGAGCTATTACAGTGGCCAATTTTGTGGTGCCAGACTTCTAAGACTGGCCATTTTTGCCCTCCAGTTGTTCTATCCTTTATATACTCCAGCAAATGGTAGGTTACTTGGGTATGCTGCAGAAAGGTTATTTGGCAGCTGAAATTCCCATTCTCAATTTATACCTTCAAAGTTAAGACAGCTACCTTCTGAAAAAAGCAAATTTTCTCTTATGGGGAAAAACCCCACATACATATATTTTACATCTCCATATACACAGACTTTTGACATCTTTAAGTGAGGAAGTTTTTTCTCCACCTTTTTTCACCTCTACAATGATATAATGACCTTGTTTTGGAAAAACAGCTCTGCCTATGAGATGGGATCTTTCTATGCTACTGGAGTACTTGACCTCCCCAGTCACTTCTATACAGTGGATAGCTCAGTGTCCATGGCCCTTCATTCCCATTTTTACCTCTCTGGGTGGAGAAAGAAAAAAAAATTAAGCTTAGGCAGATCTGCACTGCATCAGCCTGTCTGTTACAGAACAATTAAATAGATGTATTTATACATTCATATGTAGAAAAGGAAAAGTTGGCAGAAGAATACACAGAAGCCTACCTTGACAGCCCAAACTGGAGAGAAAGTTTCCTTTTGGATTTTTTTCTGATCTTCATTTTTCTTAAATATAAAAGGCTGCTTCATTCTGCCTAAAAAATCCTACCCAAAACCACTGATCTGAGTAAAGCAGAAGGGAAGGTGTATGTATAAGGGTTTATTCTGGGAAGTCTTTAGCTGCACTAATATTGTGCTCTGAGGAGTTTAACACTATTTGATCCAGTTGCTTTTAAAGTTTGATATTCACAAACATTGTAGAAGAAAGACTGAGCACACCCTCTGAGTAACTTTCCACTTTATTTTTAGTCTTTCTGAATCAAGTTACAGAGGGGAAGTGAGAAAGGCAGTTGCAGTGGGGGAATATTTTAGAAATGTCAATAGACTGTCAGTAAAGCCCTAGAAACCAAAGCTGTGAGCTGCTTTCATTCCCTGCCCCTGCTCTGAGTCCTTCTATGTCCCAATCATCATACACAAAGCTCTCACTTGGAAGAAAAGATTTGTGGCAAAACTACCACTGCTGCAAGGCATTACCAAAATACTGGTTCCTTGGGGCCAAGAGGTATCAGTGCACTTCATTAGCCATGAAACTGAATAGGTAAAGAATGGGTGGAAAAAGCCTCATGTAGTCCTTTGTAATAATGAAGGGTTAATAATTATTTAAGAGTTGCAGGTATGAACAATACTTGCTTTGTTGCTATACATGTCCACCACTTCAAGGCTGTAAGCTAGAGTGGTAAGTAACCTAACAGCCTGCTGGGATTTTTAACAGCTCATTAAAAATTTATTGAAGAGCTATTAATAATTTATTAACTTTATACACATTTTTAAAGGTACTCTTAGATTAAAGGTCTAATAGAATAAACTTATGATAGAAAAACAAATTGAGCATTATCTTAAAAAAAAGACCTTATTTAATTAATCCTAATAAAAATTAAAATTGTTTTGTTTTAATGGGAGGGAGAGGAAAGGAAGAAGCTCTTCTGTTTTGTTGAGTACAAAAGTACAAAATTTACCAAATCCTCTTATTTTAAATAAAAGAATATTTTAAAACTAGTCTTTGAAATGGGAGGAATGTTCTAAAGAGATTGGGCTTTTAAGGAGAGGTGGGTGGGTTTGGAAGACCTGCCTAAAAGGGATGGGATGAACAGGACTTGTTGTATGGCATTGAGACAACACTGCTTTATTTCTGTACTTCAGAGGAGTGTTCCTTCCTTTTTTTTTTTAGTTTCATTATAGAAAAGGATGGTGTGAGCAGCAGTGTCACTCACTGTTTCACAAACATTGAATAAAATATTTGTCTTTAAAATATCTTACTGTAAGATGTCTTTTTTCCTGTTGGCTGACTTACACAAGAGTTGTGAGCAAATTGTTTTACTGATTCTCAGTTCCTTACATTTATTCTAGTTGTATATATAAAGAGTGACAAAAAAAGAAGAGAAAAAAACTTTACATACCAGGAAAAGAAAAAGGTCAGATTAATATTATCTGCCATGTGGTTTCTGCCCAAGCAACAGAGAAAAAGAGCTGCAGGAAAAAGGGAAAAATATGATTTGTTGTGTCAGAAACAAAAGTCTGAAATAGATTTATTGGCATTGTTCAGCATATAGACAAGTTGTCACAGTGACAAATGGACTTTGTGAAGGGAATCTAGGGGGTTTGTTGTATGTTTTCGTGGAGTAGGGAAGTACCTTGCCTCTATCCTGTCATACTTATCTAGGAAATCAGCCTCTGATTTTTTAAAGTATGTTCTTGAAAAGTGCCTTTTCTCTACAATGTATGGCTGTATGCTTTTAGTATTTAGTGCAACTACCAAAATAGGTTCCTATGTTTAAAAAAAAACAGTTCAGCAGCAATTGCAGAAATGCTCTAACACTTCTAAACTGAACCCTCTCTCCAAGCATATCAGACCAGCAGTCCTGTGCCTGAGTATCTGCCACAGGCACAAAATTGCAGCACAAAGCCCACTGGGTGTTCATGTGACTATCAGGGGAAATGTTTCCAAGCACCAATCCCCCTCAAAAGTGCACTCTCAATGACCTAAAATTCTGTCACCTCTTTACAGCTCTGCAGCCCTCTATCTGCTACTAGCACTGCTGGTCTCAGAGCAGAAAAGATGCCAAAATATAACTCAGTGAATGCATGGGAGGCAATCTGCACAGTGAAAGAGCAGAAGGCTGGCCCCAAAATTTATGTCTTATGCTGTATATAAAAATGCATGACACCTGACTGCTGCAGCCAGGTACAGAGGTGCAGGAGGAAGAATTGCAGAGGAAGGAAGGGCAGGAGCAGAGCAGAGGGGGCATATCTGTACACAGCTTCATTACCTTGGCCTGGGGCAAGCAGGGAAAGAGATGAGAGCTTGTTACCAGGTACCTGAGCTCTCAGTACTGCCCTAGCTCCTTTAGGCATCTAATTGCTACTTTATAGTAAAGGAAGTAGTTCCAGGAGCACTCCTAACCTATCTTTTTCATCTTTTATTGATGAATATTAGAATATATAGATGAATATTAGAAAAATTAGGATGTAGTGCTTGTAAGAGTCCAGGGTGGCTAGTTTCAGTGTGGACAACTACCTTCCACACTTTGATATCTGGGGTGCATATTGGCCATGCACAGAGATGTATCCCTGCTATTTCTCAGGAAATAACATAGGTGGTAATCTCTGCAGGTCCCTTTGAATGCAGAGTCTCAGTGAGTCATACCAATTATACCTGTTAAATCTGCTTCTGGTTGGTGCTTTCAAGTAGATACTTTCACTGCTTAATGTAGCTCTCCAAACAGCAGTTTGACAAATACAGTCAAATGCTTTCTATCACTAAAAAGCTAGGGAAAAAGTAAGATAATGAAAAATTTCTCCCATGATAAGCAATTTAGAGTTATACTGTCTGTCTTTTTTCTCCAGTTTTTAAACTTATTTTTCTCTGTTTATGGATGGAATGAAAAAATGAAATTTTTCTTTTCCAAGTTAGTTAAGGAAATGAAGTAGGAATATGCATGTAGTGTTTGTGTCATATAAAAAAATCCCCACTTTATTGCATAAATTTAGTCTTGTAGCTGCAATGTAACAAATGTATTTTTTATCATGCTTATTTTTACACTCAGCTGTGACATATAAGAACTCAATTTTAAATTGTATCTTACTATTATATTATCCCTGTACATCAGTTTATCTCCAAGTTTTCTAAAGAACATTAATGCATTACTAATATGAAATTGAACAAAATGTAATTCTGGTGCTCTGAATCCATAAAAAACTGTATCCTGTACCATTGCTATTAATATGACTGCTGTCATGTGCTCAAATAAGAACAGGAGTGGTCCTCTGGTCATCTGGGGCTTTGATAGAAAGACAGATTAGCATAAAGTTAATTAAACTCAAAAGAAATATTAAAACAAAATGCAAAGAGAGGTGGACAAGAGAAAGCCTAAGTAAACATGAACTGTGAAAACAGAATTAACACAAGAAAAAAAGAGGAAAACTATAGATTTTATTTTGAATTAAAAATGCACATATATAATACAGATGTATTTGTTACATATATGAGGTACAAATAGTTTTATTTTGAAAATCTTTGGTCAGAAAAAAATGAAGCAATAAGTATAAAAATCTCAGGCATTCCCACTTCCTCAAATCAGTAAAACAAGTGAAGACATTGAACAGAGTAGAGAAGGGCAAGATCTCATTCACTTTAGGTATTTTTTTTTTCTTTTTACTTTGGTTGGTTGATTGTTCTGAGGGGTTTTTGTTTTTGTTTGGTTTGGGTTTTTTAGTGGGTTGTTTTTTGGAGGGAGGGTGTTTGTGTTGTTTGTTGTTGCTGTTTTCTGTTGTTTTGGGGTTTGTTTTTTTGTTTGGTTTGGTTTGTTGTTGTTGATGGTTTGTTTATCTAGGCTTTTTATTGTGTTATATCCTGAAAGTTTGTAAAATAGATACTTAGTGTAAGTTGGTAAACCAGGCTCAAGCCCTTCTCTAATCAATGCTCCATCGCACAGACAAAGAGGAAGGTTGTTCCACTGTCCAGAACAGAACAGAGCAAGAAAATCCAGCACCAGGGTGTGCCAAGGACTGCAGTTGGGACAGAGATGTGCAACGTGAAAGAACAGAAAGCAAGAACTGAAAGAAAGTGATCTGTCATAGAAACATCATGGTTAAATTAGCAGTATAATGTTTCCTCTCCTTCCTGTCTGTCTCTGACTTTAAAAAAACCAAGACACTAATCCTGGACCTCCGACTTTACACCAAGTAATTTAAGGCTTGGTGGACTTTACAGAGAGAAAAGGTTCCTGCTGGAAAATTTCTGGCCAGCGGCAATCTCAACAGAAAAACTTCTTTCTGGAACTTGTAAGTAAAGATTGGAACAGCTTAATCAGGTGAGAGCAAGAGTCAAGCTTTTTGTTCAGGTAGATTTGCTGTTAATTGTTCTTGTAAGAATGCACAAATGGGGAATCATACCATCCCCCAGAGAGAGATGTCTTGCTGCCCCTTATTCCTATGTCTGAGCAAACAAACACACATGTACACCCTCCTCCCACCATGCATATTTTTTAATCTATTAATCTAAAGAGAAATATATTAGCCTGCATGTATACTATCTATTAATAGAAAAAGTCTTTTTGTATATAAAAGATTTATGACTCCTGATTCTATCAGGTTTCCTTCCTAAAGGCATCTAATCTATCTGCACAGTTATCACATTTTTCTGATCTGTTTTCCTCCCTGCGCTTTCAATTGGTCTCTAGCTATCTTCCACCATGGTAGAAGCTGGAGCTGTGTTCTGGTTCTGCACCCCTGGGTTCCCTATGAAGTGTTCCCTTCACAACCTGGAAGATAGCCTCCCTTTTATTTCCTCTATTTCCTTTCTTTAGAAAATGGTGTCCATCAAAATGTTTTGCAGCCAGCCATGTATGACACAGAAATATAGGATTTATGAGTAGATGGACTGAAGGTAGAATAACAGAATATAGAGTTGGGAAAGAGGCTAAGAGATCATCTACCCTACAGAAAGACTAGAGTGTTTTACCTATCTCTAGGCCTTAGAAAGCCATCCATCTTATTCTAGACATCTCTCAAGGATGAAATAAAATGAATACAAAAAAAAAGCCTCAAACCCCAATCAAGAACAAACAAACCAAGCAAAGACCCACAAACTATATATACAGTGTTTTACTATTCAACTATACTGCCTGCTGTATCTCATTTCCTAACCCCTGACCATTTGGCAAATTAAACTTATTGCTGCTTGTTTCAGCTAAAGTGAATATGACAAGACAGTTTATCATCATAATCTTG